TCTACCTTGGTCTTAACCTCTTCACTAATCGTTCCTTGTAAATAAAATATATTTTGATTTTTTCTTTTCATTCTAATTTCACTTTTAGTTAGCTTTTGCTTTAATAATTAATTCACTATTATCACTCTCATATGCTCCTTTTGTATATTTTCACACCCTCTTCACACTTGTTAAATTGACACTCAAATACCTTTATTCTCACTTAATAGCAATTTTAACCTTATCAAATTTCTATCTTTGTGCCGTTGAGTACCACGTAATTTACAACTTTTAATTTTCACTTCTAAAGCCACTTCTGAGTAATTATATCAATTATGTCACCTCCTATTACTCAATAATAGACCACTATGTATTTTTGTAAGTATAAATACGACTGTAGAGCCAGCCTGTGAAGATGATTTCGTCGATAAAGAAAATTTTCTTCGCTGAATCTGTCTTTTATTTTCTTCATGACTCAATGGGTATTTTCGGTGATTATTGAATTGTCTACGTACACACATATTACTAACTTCGTTATTCTTATCGCCACCTGTATAAACCTTATTATCATTCATTGTTTTTGTGATCATTATAATCATCGTTATTAACTACGTTCAAAACATTTACCACATCATTATTATTATTTGATCCACAAAACCACCGTCATTGGGTTAAAATTGTTACATATAAATCTATGCAAATTAGAGTAAAGCCTGAAGAAGGGGACCTAATTGAAAACAACAATATTGTTCGCCTATTATATTTTTTGTTCTAATATTAAAAATGGGAATATTTAAAGATTCTTTCAGACAAGCAAAACATTGTTTCTGATACGCGAATTCAACTCTTTCCAAAAAGGACATTTTAAGAAAGCGCATTCTCATGTAGTTGATGTGAAATGCCCCACAAGTAATCCATCTTTCTCGTTCTACAATGCTCTGTAAGCCTTTCATCACAAATCATTTCCCCTCACTCCTGAATCTCTCAGTCTCTCGGTATTCAGGTGTAAAATGGCGGTGAATTCACTGATTTTTTTATGGCTTATACTTATACTATCTTCCACGACTCTAAAATGCCATCAAAATTCAAATGCTCGACACTCTCATCCTCTAAGCGCGGATGCTGATCTTCACTCGATTTCTCATCAGTCGAGTAGGTAGACAGACGTCTAGTAATTATCCCCCAATAACAGAACTCGAATACAAATTGTTCATGTAATTCAAAGATATATTGAGATATTTCTACAGGTCATCAAGTTACCCAAAAATATAAATTGAGATCATTTCTTAACTTACTGACCATAACGTTTGACCATGTGTCAAGGACCCTTTTAGAAACCATGCATGGCCTTCCAAATCTCCGGGCATAACATTCCTCCTTGAGAGGCAAGAAATTATAGAACTGTATCACACTAACAGCAGCAGCGCCAGCACAATGCCTCAATTAATATATCAGCATTATTTCACCACTCAACTTATCCTTCAACATCAATCACTTCACAATCTCCTCCGCAAAGTGACGATAGTGTCAACTGAATTCCCACCAGAGAAGATTATGCCTCAAATTTAGACAACTTTCTCCTCGAAAAAAACAATCTTCATCACAAACACACACACACATCACCCATAACCCCAGGCATTTTATCAGTAAAAATGAGTCATTTTGTGGGGAGAGCTGGCTGCTAGTCAAAATCGATAGACAGTAATTTACGTCAATGTTTACAGTCCCCAATATCGGTCATGAGAAAAGAAGATCAAGAACAAAGACTGACTGACTCAACCAACAACCAATCACAGCACACTTTCTTTGCATAGGCGGATACAATTAGCAGATAGATAGATGATTTGACCTTGGAGAAACAGCCAGAAAGAGATGAAAGATTAACTAACGTTCAGTGAGAAACAACCACCAATCAGAAGACTGTGTTTGTCTCCTAACAATAATCTATAATAATGTCCATGATAATCTATAAATACGCGTTGATTTCCTTAATAAACGATCTGTTGACTGGCCCATGTCTTTCTGTTGTTACAATTTCACTATCGATACACTCCAGTGGTGGCGTCCAAACTGCCTTGTCTATTCCTTGGCCCAAACATTATAGTGTGGCCAAAAATTAAAACCAGAAGGTATATATGCCAAGCAATGCTTGGCGGAAAAATCAAACAGAACTGAGGACCATCAGTGGAGCGAGCAGAGGAGGGACTGACTAACTACTTAATATTTGCGTTGAAAATCCGAACCTTGTTCTTTATAGTGACTGCAATGGATTTCCATACAGATTTCAGAGTGATCAAGCTGAGATACGATAAGACCATTCTATCATATATTTAACACTTTGTAGTGGTTCACACTTCTGAAATGCTGATAATCGATGGCTACTCCAGTCAACTTCTTGGCAATAGACAGCGACATGCATTTTTTTGACAGCTCGAGAATTAAACCCCGGTGGGTGCGTACTGATGAAGAGTCCCAAACTAGGATGAAACAGTTGTCCAGTAGTCCCAGCTTGTTTTCCAATGGTTCTCTAACCAATGTCAGCTCATGATGAAATCCTGTAACCAATCAACCAAATCCCTACAAACCAATATTTGAATCTAACATTAGTCAGAACCCTCAACAACAAAAAAATAATAAGGGTTGTACAGATCTAAATTATGAACTTTTAAAAAGGTGCTTTTGCTCCTATCATCGACAAGCCTGTTCAGCTTCTTGTCAAGATGCTATCCATTGGGCCCTAAAGAAATTCGTGAGACATCTTACAGGTCAGCTTATCCTACGGGTTCTAATTTTCCAGATCTTTGAATTCACTCCTCACTTAAAAATATCACTTACCTAGCTCACAATAATCTTTTTATTTACGCACTATTATACTCTACTTTACGTTAACTACCTAGGCCATTATTAAAGCTAAAACTTGCTCTTTGTTGATTTCCCAAAGTCTGGTTGCTTTGATTAAAAACACAACAACAACACCAATGTTTGAACAAAGATATATCTTCATCGAAAACATCATAGTTTCCATGCTTAGACCAATATGGTTAGCATTACACATTGCAAATGTATATACTATCATTTCAAGTACTATATAGCTTCTTCTTCTTGTATTTATCTTGCAAATATACTTCCAATAATGTATTATTCATAATTGCATTGTATACCATTGATATAAGAATAAAACTTGTGCACTGTGGTAGAGTGTAATTCCATTATGGGTAAATTTTGTTTTGATTAAGTCTCACAGTGTTGTTATACAGTAATGTTTACTGATGACGTTTCGAGCACAATTTATTGCTCATAATCATATCAAGGTAATCGCACGACTTCCTAAATTCATTTATATAGTTCCGTTGTTTTTCACTTGATTTGATTGCTAGTAATATTTTCCATATTTCGGGTATGAGTGATGAATCATTCCTATTGCATGTGCTGGGTGAAGATTCAATGAACAAGGATTCAGTAATCAACCTCTCTCCATTCCCACCTACCTAGATTACTTTTTAGAATTTTAACCCTCTCCCACCATGCTATTGTGCGGCTGTGTGTTAATGCACGCATGCTCGGGGTCAACCATTCTTATCTTGGCTAAATTCTTATGTTCTGACAATCTGATTACCCACGACCTACAAGATTGACCTATGTAGTTGACCTCACAGTCATTGCAGGGTATTTTGTAAATGATATAATTTTGTCTAATTGGGTCAACTGGGTCCTTTAACCTACAGAGATTGTCCCTGAGTGAGTTTTTAGGTTTAATACCTTGATATGATTATGAGCAATAAATTGTGCTCGAAACGTCATCAGTAAACATTACTGTATAACAACACTGTGAGACTTAATCAAAACAAAATTTACCCATGATGGAATTGCATTTTATACCATTTTGCAGTTGCGCAGAATTTTCTTCTCTTCCTGAAATAGCGTTCAATCACCTGGGGGCATAAAAATCACCCAGACAGATATACGCTGTTCACTACTGGTTGACCATAACTATCAGCAGGCAACCCAACGGAAAGAAGTTTGGGTTGTCTCGCTCAACTTTGATGGTGACACCTTAGTAAACGGTTTACAATTTAACATTTATAAGAACCTGTACTGATTGCTTGTACAATAATTGAACAATTTAAACTTTTGAAAAAGTATTAAATTATATGATACTTCAGGATTGTAATTTATAACATTACTGATCGTGCCTGTAAAAATGGCATGGATTTCTTGTTAACTTACCCGTTTATGCGCAATATATATATGCATTATCATTATTATCATTGTAGAAAGAATCCCCATTTAGACATTTAGGAAACAGAAAGATTGAGCAGCGAAGAAATATTTACTTTTCAATTAGATCCTCCCTCATCTCACTATGGCTCTACTCTAATCAATATACACGTATATACGCATTTTTATTACAATACACAACAAACAATTTACCAATCATCAAGTGGCACTGATATGTTTGTTTGTTAACAATAATTAGTCAGTCAGTGTCAACATGTCAAGCAGGCAAGGGGTGATAATTAACGAAGAAAATCAATGCACACACACAATTAAAAGGTAGAAATGGTTAGAATAAATTAATTTTACAAGGATAACACGTAATTAAACATGAAATGGTCAGAAAAATAAAATAATTTGGACAATTATAATTTGTAAAGGTTTAGGGGGAGGGGGGCGAAGTAGTCCGGTTTATACATTCATGTAACGATGGCCAAGGTGAGGAAAGTGGCTGTACAAATTTCTTCTGAACACACACACAGGTTTGCCTTCTTCTTCAGGTGGATTCCTATTGCTTCAGCTGTCGTATGTAGAAGACGAACTGGTAGAGCAAAATTAAGATTAGTAGGAATGCGATGAATAATTTCAAATGCAGTATTAACGTCAACCTTATGCTCACTAGCATCTACAAGGTGTGCTACAATACAGCTACGAATAGATCTTGTTTGTCTCTTGCTGCTTAACCATGCTGCAGGATGATGTTCGGAAATACGATGATGAACCACTTGCCTTAGACATCGTTACATGAATGTGTAAACCGGACTACTTCGCCCCCCTCCCCCTAAACCTTTACAAATTATAATTGCCCTAATTGTTTTATTTTTCTGACCATTTCATGTTTGATTACGTGTTATCCTTGTAAAATTAATTTATTCTAACCATTTCTACCTTTTAATTGTGTGTGTGCATTGATTTTCTTCGTTAATTATCACCCCTTGCCTGCTTGACATGTTGACACTGACTGACTAATTATTGTTAACAAACAAACATATCAGTGCCACTTGATGATTGGTAAATTGTTTGTTGTGTATTGTAATAAAAATGCGTATATACGTGTATATTGATTAGAGTAGAGCCATAGTGAGATGAGGGAGGATCTAATTGAAAAGTAAATATTTCTTCGCTGCTCAATCTTTCTGTATTATTATTATTGTACACCTTCATCTAATTTTTATAAACTTCTTTCGACCTGATTCTATAACAGTGGGCACTTATCGTATCCACTGATGATGTTCCCAGATTAAGTTAGTTCTGAAGTTATTTCTAAATACTGCCATCATGTCATCATCGATGGTCACAAAGATCACGAAGAGGATCACCACCAGCCCATTCGATATAATATTTCTTCACACAACTAAATACCGTAACATTCAGGTTTTATAGTGAGGCATACATAATTGTATCCTATACAATTCATCAGCGTATAGGCAAAAGGAAGCTTCAAAAACAAATTTCATTTCACAAAGATTTTTAGCAGTGTGTGTGTGTGTGTAGAGTATAATCGTTTCTTTTCAAGCATTCCTTTGAAAAGCATGGCATCCTAGTCAACACAGCAGAAAGGGCTGTCATCATCGATAAGACGAATATTTACACTCACATCCTATATCTATCTATCTATCTACCTACCTATCCATACGAAAATATTCCTTGAAGATTGGATCAAAAAAGCTGGCTGGCATTCAAACCAACCACAAACTCAATTAGAAACAAGCTTAGTCAGTTAAAGGATCAATCCTGTGGATCCAATAAAACAAAACAATTTAGTTTATCTAATACCCTGTCTGCAATGATTGTCAGGTCAAATACATAGGTCAAAGTAGTAGAACGGGGTCAGTGAGTCAGACTTTCCGAACAGCATAAAAACCTAGCAGCAAAATCTAGATTAGTTGACCCGAATAAGATAAGAAATCTAGAGAATAGTTCAGAAGCTATTGCAAGCACTACATGCAATCACACACAACCATAAAATAGGCTGGATGGGATAGGATGACAGCTTTGAAATCTAATGTCACAGGGTGAATAGAGGGAGGGGGAGATTGATAACAGAAGCTTTGTTTATCGAACCAACTGCAAATCAACACGTGTAACAGGAATGATTCAACACCTGTCCAGCCAGATATCTGGAATATTCTACTACCCCAAAGACGATGACAAATAGGAGAGGCCAAAGAAAACCATGAAACTCAAGTTTCGAAGTCGTGTGATTATAATTGATGATATGATTATGAAGAGCAATAATGAATTGTGTTCGAAACAACTTTGTCATCCAGTAAATACTAATACTGTGTGTGATACATCCATCTAATAAACAAACTAATATGGAATTATATTATACGTTCTATTTCAGAGCATAGGTATCAATTTTTTTTCACAACGGTGACAGTTAGTTATATGCGCATTCAACACATTGCTCTTCGTTGATATTCTGCTGTCGCCACACTGTAATCTTCAATTCGGAAGTAACGGCTTTCATTTTGTTTCAGAAACCTGAAAACCAGGAAAACAGAGAGAAGCCCATTAATAAACCTTCATTTATATATATATATATATATATATATATATATACCAGTGAAATAATTAAAAATGAATCCTTCTAAAAGCCTGTCTGTCTGTTTTCGACATAGAACCACTTTGCACCGATGTGCAGCAGTTCAAGTCGCCACACACTCCCTCCACTCCATGTAGTACACAAAGCAAGAGAAGAAAGTAGAAGAAATGCATAATAGAGAGAGACAGTAAACAGAGGTGTGGTGAGACAAAGGAATATTAATAACGAAGAACAATTAGTTTCATTTGAATTGCCATATCATCACCAATTGTTTCCAGCCTTCATTGGCTTTTACCGTCCCGAGGAACCCAACCAGTCAGGAAGCCAGTCTACACCTTCCTACGTGGCTGGCTGCCTGGCTTAAACTGACCGTTGTGGATTTCTTCATTGACTGATGAAGCCATGTTTTGGTTTGACCGCCGCTAGCTCACTCTTTCCCAACCTGACCCTATGTCAGCCAGCTAACATTGCCCATTGTCGAGGAAGGCGATGACCAGGCATGCATGCGTAACACATGTCCTAACTACCTCACTCAGTCGATGCAATTTCACAGCCTCATTGTCGATTGATTTCCCCTCCTTCCTTACCTAGCACTCGACCGACGCCTAACCTCAATATTGCTCAACCTATTATACCACTTCACTCGGGAGATAGAACGCAGGCACCTATGGTCGAAGACAGCTAATCAGCCTTTTCATGTCTTCCACTCTCAATGGCCAGGTCTGGCTCACAGCCAGCCATAAACGAGGACGGAGCGGACTGCTGAGCAGTAATTTTAATAAAAACAAGTACTCAACAATGGGTTCTTTTTGGTTGTGGATTGCATTAGAATCCGAGATATATATATATATTTTATCCTTTATTGAGTCTGTCAACTAGAATATAATTATTTACTAGTAAATTCTACGGTATCAAATGACAGAAATATAAATAATAGGTAAGTGATTCCCATCTTTTAGGAGTAAGCTAACGTTGCAAAAATATTCGACCACCACCTACAACGCGCCCAATAATACCAACAACGGAAGCAGAACTACCTACCAGTGATCATCAACCCCCACCCCCCCCCCCCCGAGACGAGAACACAAGTCATGAAGGCAATCAAGATGCTAAAGGCTGGAGCTGGAAAAGCAGCAGGACCAGATGCAATCCCAGCAGAAGTATCGAAAATGAACCCAGAAACAACAACGGATTTGATGACACAACTACTGGAGAAGGTGTGGAAAGAAGGCAAAGTACCCGAGGATTGGAAGAAAGGATACTTATTCAAACTACCAAAGAAAGGAGAACTGGGGCGGAATTATGCTCCTATCCATCCCAGGCAAAATACTAAGCCGCATCATTCTGGAGAGAATCAAACACGCTAAGCTGGATGAAAACCTCCGACCGGAACAGGCTGGATTCAGGAGAAACAAGTCATGTATTGATGAAATCGCCACATTACGGATCATCATTGAACAAAGCCTGGAATGGCAGTCACCTCTCTCAAAGTCTCAACTTCATCGACTTTGAAAAGGCCTTCGATAGCCCAGCGTCGATCGAGAGGTGATTTGGAAACTACTTCGCTACTACCAAGGGGTGTCGCCGACAATTATACATCTCATCCAACAGTTGTACGACAATGCTGCATGCCAAGTAATCCACAACGGGAAACTTGCGGGACCCTTCGAAGTGAGGACAGGAGTAAGACAAGCTGGCTGCCTACTATCGACAATGCTTTTCCTGATTGCAGTGGACTGGTTAATGCGACAGACAGCGGGCAATGAGGAAACAGGCATAAAATGGACTCACACAAAAAGACTTGGAGGATCTGGACTTCGCCGATGATATTTGTCTGATTTCCCACAAACTGGAAGATATGCAAGTGAAAAGCAACAAGTTGGGAGAGGAAGCACCAAAGATAAGACTCCAGTTAAATATAGAGAAAACAGAGGTGATGAAGATTCCTGGGAAACAACACCAAAAACAATAACAACAACAGACAACAATCAGCCAGCATAAATGGGAGGAACCTGAAAGAAACAACCTCCTTCACCTACCTACCTAGCTGGGAAGCATCGTTTCAACTACAGGCCAACGGAACTGACGAGGATATCAAAGCAGCGAGGATCGGGAAAGCAAGACAAGCTTTCATTTCTCTCAAGTCTGTGTGGAAGTCAACAGACAGCACTCAGCATGAAAATGAAAATGAGATCCGGATTTTCAACTCCAATGTGAAGTCAGTCAGTGCTACTTGCAATACGGATCAGAGACTTGGCCAGCGCGTCATAAACAGCACCTCAAACAAACTACAGACCTTTATCAACAGCTAGTTGTCTTCGCTCAATACCACTCAAGATCAGATGGCCGGCCGGCCAGAAAAGATCAGCAACAGATCTCTGGGAGCGAACCAACCAGGAACCGATTGTGAAACAAATAGGCAGGAAGAAATGGAGATGGATTGGTTGGCCATACTCTGAGGAAACCATCAACTGACATCACTAGACAAGCCATTGCTCGAGTGGAACCCGAAAGGGAAGCGGCGAGTTGGTTGTCAGCGTGAGGGTGACTTGGGTGAGGAGGTCATGTGAAGAGGAGATGAAAGCGTGTGGGCAGACTTGGAGCCAGGTGAAAACGTTAGCAGAGAACTGAACGCAATGGAGACGTGCACGGCTGGAGCCCTTCAAAGTAATTTCCCTGTGGTTAAGATATATTATTGAAAAGTGATGAAAAACAAAACTTTTATCCCACTGAGGCCTATAGAAGACAATCACCTATTTATCTGTTTTTAAAAAAAATATTCACTAGTGAGTCATAGTTAATGTAATACTACCTACTACCTTAGAAATTTGCGGTGGAGAAAAGACTGCACTGTTAGTATTACAATGAATATTTTTATTTACTAATGTGATATACATTCGATTCTAAGATCAACAACCTAAAACCAAGCTTTTTAGTCGACACAAAAAAGTGGCGATTGTTGACAGTCCATACAATTAATGCTATTAGATAGTTGGAGGCAATCGGCCAGAGGAAGCCTCGCTCGACCTAGGTTTCGTGCTAGTTGGCACTCACCGGTCAGTCAGTCAGCAAGGCGTATCTGCAACCACCTTGAAGGAACAGCTCATGTCCCTTCTGAGATTCGAACCCGCTCACCCAGTCAGTACTGTAGTCAGAGACGTAACCACTGAGCTATTCGGACTGGCTTGCGATTGACCTCCTGTAGGACGCGAGTTCGAATCTCAGAAGGGACATGAGCTGTTCCTTCAAGGTGGTTGCAGATACGCCTTGCTGACTGACTGACCGGTGAGTGCCAACTAGCACGAAACCTAGGTCGAGCGAGGCTTCCTCTGGCCGATTACCTCCAACTATCTAATACCATGAAATCAATGTGTGCACCGTGATGGCGAGCTATCTATTGGCATGGTGGCCACATTGCAAACCTGACTGACTGATAGAATTCAGTCTGCACCAAAGAAAGGACTAGCCAGACACGTCACACACTAGTTGCTGACTGGTGTCAAATCAAAATATACAACTAATGCATTGTACAAGATCGTGAATGTGTAAATGTGAGAAATTTATACGCGTCTAACTCTCCGTTAATTTACAATGCAATAAAAAATATATATATAAAAACACTCACTGCAAAAACTCAGCAACCGAAGCTTCTAGCATAGGGAGACTATGAGCATCGACTCGGACGCATGAAACCATATCTCGGAGTTTAACTATAAACAGTAAAAAAAGTTTCAAAGGACAGACATTTTTAGGTTCAAAAATTCACATGAATTGTTGTATGTATGTTGTATGAGCTTGAAAACTATGTACACACCAGTTATTTGCATGTAGGATTTCATCATGAGCTGACATCAGTTAGAGAACCACTGGAAAACCAACCAGGGAGCAGTGCCAGACAGCTATTTCCCCCGTCCTAGTATTGGATTGATTATTCAGCAGTACGCACCCACCCCCACTGACGGGGTTCGAACCCAGGACCCTCTAATTACAAGGCGAGCTCTAGCTCGTAGACCATTGAGCCACTGGGACCCGATCACATGGGCCTTGAATTCTAACTTCTGCCAATTCACGCACCACATAGCGCGACCATTTCGCAATGTCTTCTTCGATGAGTGAGTTACTGCCTCATCTTCAACCTGCTGTACCTTACTGGTCACGGTTTCCCACTAGAACCTCAGGTAACTGCCTACCTGAATAGGGCCAGTCGCCAGTGAGCATCAGATTAATTTTCAAGTATTGGTTTTGTAGGGATTTTTTTGATTGCATGGAGGGTTTCATCAACTAAAATACCTTTTAGCAGTACGCACCCACCGACGGGGTTCGAACCCAGGACCTTCTGGTTACAAGGCGAGCTAGCTCGTAGACCAATACTTAATAAACTGATCTGATGCTCACTCACTACCGAATGGCTCTCTCTATTCAGGCAGTTAACCTGGGGTTCCAGTGGGAGGACGTGACCAGTAGGGTACACAGCAAGTCGAAGGTGAAGGCAGTTAGTACTCATCGAAGACATTGTGATAAGTGGTCGCGCTATATGTCGTGCGTGAATTGGCAGAAGTTAGAATTTATGGACTGGCTGGCCATTGGATCGGACCCCAGTGGCTGCTGAATGGTCTACGAGCTAGCTCGCTGCCCTAGTAACCAGAAGAGGTCCTGGATTCGAACCTCGTCGGTGGGTGCATGCTGTTGAAGAGCCACAAACTAGGACGTGGGAAGCAACTGCCCAGTGCTCTCCAGTGGTGCTGTTCAAATGGGGTTCTCTAACCGATATCAGCGGTCATAATGAAATCCTGCAACCAATAAAAAAAGTCCCTACAAAAACCAATACTTTAAAATACTTTTTGCAATAACCGAAAATATCCATTGAGTCATGAAGAAAAGAAAATACAGATTCAGCGAAGAAAATTTTCATCATTGACGTCGATAAAGAAAATTTTCTTCGCTGAATCTGTCTTTTATTTTCTTCATGACTCAATGGGTATTTTCGGTGATTTGAAGCAGAGCAAGAACCCTGTGACAGTGAAGGAACTTGATACGTTTCTTAAGTTCTCTGTCAAAATTGCCATAGCGAATACGAGAATCAGTTTTCTGAAGAGCTGTATTGATAAGAAGGAATATCCCAAGCACTTCTGGAAATGTCTTCGTCGCAATCATATCCACCCAAACCATCGCTCTTTGAAACGTCATAAACTTTTTGCAATACTTGAAAATGTAGGGGGTTTCTTTCAACAGAACAGTCACTCCGTATACTTAGCCATTCTCATAATAACACTTCTATCAACAAACGGTCTATAAACAGTTTACTTGTCACTTATACTTTCTCATACTGAACATTATTTTGATTAAGAAAAAAACTGTCAGCCCATCGGTAAATAATCACAGTTTATTTTTTTCAATTTCTTAGTATCAAGTATTAAAATTGCAGAAAGTACTACTTCCTGAGATGTCTAAATGTCGTGGAAAACACCCATAAGGACATTAGAAAAACGAGAGAACACGAAGTTCATCAAAGATGACGATATTTTCGACGATTTCATTTTCAAAAGTAACTGTACAATCGCATTTAAATGCATAGTTTTACATGGACACAGAGTTACGACGGTGAATAAAAGGTGACAATTATTTTCAACTAGATATGGTTTACAAGGAAAGGCTTAGAAACAAAATTACACAGGATTAGAACGGATAACAAGTGTGTAAAAATGAGCGAGCATGGAAACAAAATTGAAATATTAATAATAATTTTCAACTTGAGATGGGAGTTAGGAGGTGTGAATATAGATTACAAGCCTTAGAAACAAAAATTCTACAGGGTTACAATGAATTACTGGCGTATAGAAAATGAGCATGGAAACATCTCAACTGATTCTTTCAAAGTAATTTACAAAGTCAACAGAAACCTGCCAAAAGCAGTATGTTTCCGACTTCCCTGTACTGCAGAAGCCTTCGCAATATGCATCTAGAAGCCGGAGCTGTGTGTTCAAAAGAAATCAGTCCAACATCTACAACTACCATGGACCTAGTTCGGTATGTTCCCTTAGCTTCCATTCTCTTTTTTGATCTTCTTTCGTTCGCTGTGTGTGTGTGTGTGATTCCTACTCCCTCTGTCTTCATTCGATTCACCCCATTTCCGTTTTCAGTTAAAAGAACAGTTATTTTAAGTTTGTTTCCATGCTTTTCGTGTTCACATTTATAATTCGTTTAAAAAATAACTATTTTACAATTATATCTTAATCCTGTGCAATTTTTGTGTTTCTAAGGCTCTTGTAATCTATATTGGCACCTCTTAACTTCCATCTTAAGTTGAAAATTACTATTATTATTTCAGTTTTGTTTCCATGCTCGCTCATTTTTACACACCTTGGTTATCCGTTGTAATCCTGTGTAATTGTGTTTAGGTAACTAAACCAGATTTAGTTGAAAAAAATTATCACATTTTATTCGTCGTCGTAATTATGTATCCGTGTAAAACTATGGATTTAAATGCGATTGTACAGCTACTTTTGAAAATGAAATCGCCGAAAAGATCGTCATCCTTGGTGAACTTCGTGTTCTCTTCTTTTAAAAAAATTCACACCTTATGCAGTGAAACCGAAAAACCACTCAAAATACATAGTTTAGTTGTTTAAATATCATAAGAACGGAACATTAATTCCATATTAGTTCGTTTATTAGATGGATGTATCACACACAGTCAGTCAGTGAAACAGTATTAGTATTTACTGGATGACAAAGTTGTTTCGAACACAATTCATTATTGCTCTTCATAATCATATCATCAATTATAATCACACGACTTCGAAACTTGAGTTTCATGGTTTTCTTTGGCCTCTCCTATTTGTCATCGTCTTTGGGGTAGTAGAATATTCCAGATATCTGGCTGGACAGGTGTTGAATCATTCCTGTTACACGTGTTGATTTGCAGTTGATTCGATAAACAAAGCTTCTGTTATCAATCTCTCCCTCCCTCTATTCACCCTGTGACATTAGATTTCAAAGCTGTCATCCTATCCCATCCAGCCTATTTTATGGTTGTGTGTGATTGCATGTAGTGCTTGCAATAGCTTCTGAACTATTCTCTAGATTTCTTATCTTATTCGGGTCAACTAATCTAGATTTTGCTGCTAGGTTTTTATGCTGTTCGGAAAGTCTGACTCACTGACCCCGTTCTACTACTTTGACCTATGTATTTGACCTGACAATCATTGCAGACAGGGTATTAGATAAACTAAATTGTTTTGTTTTATTCGATCCACAGGATTGATCCTTTAACTGACTAAGCTTGTTTCTAATTGAGTTTGTGGTTGGTTTGAATTGCAGCCACTTTTATTCCTGTCTGCCTTGTTAAGAATTCTGCGTTAGGTTGTTTCCGAGGTTCCTTCCTTGTATGGAAATACTACTGATGATTTAGATTCTTTATTGTTGGTGTTGTCTTGAGCATGTTTGACTTGTATGTAGTCATTAATATTATTATTATCACTATTGCTACTATCATTATTTTATTTTTACATTTTCTTACATATTTCTTGACTAATTTATCCGAGTAATTATTAAGTTTCAAGGCTTCTCTTATATGTATCACTTCCTGTCTTAGATTTTACTTGGTACTAATTAATTTTTGTGCTGTCATCTAGACATTTCACCAATCCTATTTTTACTGACATAGGATGGGATGATCGGAAGTCCAAATATCGGTTTGAATGTGCGGGTTTCCTATAAACACACTAGTGTGTTTAACTTCCAATCTTCTTTCCTTTTTACGCTACAATCTAACATTGGAAGCTCCCCCACTTCCTGACTTCCCAATTCATCATAAGTGAATTGAATTGCCTCCACCTTTGAGTTATAATGTGTTCGAAAAATCTATCTGCATCCTGTGTTCTAAGTACAGTGAATGAGTGTCATCTACATACCTCCACCACACATTTGGGGGGGGGGGGCAAATACATGTAATAGGAATGATTCAACACCTGTCCAGCTAGATATCTGGAAAATTATACTACCCCAAAGACGACGACAAATGGGAGAGAACAAAGAAAACTATCAAACTCAAGTTTTGAAGTCGTGTGATTATAATTGGTGATGTGTATGATTATGAACCAAAATAATTAATTGTGTTCGAAACTGTGTCATCCAGTAAATACTAATACTGTTTCACTCACCGTGTGATACATCCATCAAATAAAAAGCTAATATGGAATCACTTACTACCACCACCACAGTGCACAAGTTTTACACATATATCAAAGGGAACATTATACTTACCAAACAACCTCAACAAGTGGATTGAACCATAAATATCTGACATTCTCTTATCTGTATGATGCTTCAATAGCTCAGCATATTGTAGTCGTTCAAATTTGTATAAAAGATGAGAACCAATAGTAAGATTGAAAAAATGCTGAATTCCGGCAACAAATTCACGCCTTACACCCGGGTTTATTGCCAACTTAGTAGTATTTAGCTGAGAGTTCTCAGGTTCAGAAGAAGTGCAGTCTTCTTTTGCTTCACAAGTTGATTCTGACTTAGCGATTTCAGCCTCAGAAGCTTCTAAGAAGTCTGATAAAACATTACATATTGGCTGAGAAGCAGGCAGTTCATAAAGCTGTGAAAATTTAACGGAAGAAAAAATAATTCAGAAAGGAAAAACCTCTAGCTTCTTGACACATATAAACTCACTAGTAGAGGGAATAAAATTCGCATCTGAATCGGTAAATGAACAAGGAGAATTAGCTGTGATGTTAGATTGTAAAATAAAACGAATAGAAGAAGGTAAACTGCACACTAGCGTTTTTAAAAAGCCAACGCATTCTGCTAATAGATATTCAGACTTTAATTCATCTCATCTGTCCGTTATCTGTCTGTTAAGGCAGGCTTAGTTAAGTTAAGTGTTTAACAAACCGAGCAATAGCACTAAGTAACACAAGAAAAGGCCTAAATGATGAAATAAAACAGACAGAAGAAGAGGCGTTGGTGTCAAATAAATTATAAAATTCATTAGGAAGATAGAAAAAGGCCAAGAGCAAAATAAAAATAATTCTGAAACTAGTAATGATAACATAAATAAGAGTGAATATAAGTCATCTACAGCAGTTATACCATATAGGGAGGGGACATCTGAGATACTCCCCACGTAGGATTCTTTATAAAGCAGGAATTAGAGTAGTGGCATTCAAACCTACAAACTGATTAACTCGGGTAGAACAACGTCTGTAGGACCCTGTCGGTTGACCCAATTAGACAAAATAATATAATTTACAAAATACCCTGCAATGACTGTGAGTTACGTCAACTACTTACATAGGTCAAACTAGTAGGTCGGGAGTAGTCGGATTGTCGGAACATAAGAATTTACCTAAGGTAAGAATGGTTGACCCCACCCGAGAAGATAAGTAATTTAGAAAAAAGCACTCAGCACTACATTGCACTGCATGCATTAACATACAACCACACAATAGCATGGTGGGAGAGGGTTGAAATTCTAAGAAGTAATCTATGTAGGTGGAGAGAGAGAGAGATTGATTACTGCATCCTGCCTGGTTCATTGAGTCTACACCCAACAGAACACATGCAACAGAAATGACTCAATGCAAATACCAGAGATATGCATGGAAGATATTATTACCGCCAGTCACATAAAAAACAAACCTTTGTCTCTATAATATGAAGTGAGATTTACACTACAATAGTAGTGAGAAGACAATTTATCACAGAAAAGAACAAAATACGCTGAGGACAATAAGTTTTAACTAGGGGTATTGAGAACTCATTCCACTGAATCAATACGAAAGTAAATCAGGAAGGCTTCGTGTGCTTTTGGAAGTGTGTGTGGGCGGTTGTTACTTTCCGGCTGCCCACACCACTGTGGAAGTTGATTGATTCTTCGGGTACCTGAAACAGAGAGACGTTTAGTTTTGCGTGACCGCAGAGCCCAGGGGACACAACTGATTTCTTGATTTGGTTCCGTATTAGTAAACTTACCGCCGGTTACGGACCACCGTAGGTCGGGTAAGTTGGGATGTACAATTTTTGGGGTCAATCTTTTTTAACCCCCTCTCTCCAGAGTGGAGAGACAGCATAGGTGGCTGGCTTGCTGGTCATCTGAAGGAAACACCTCACTGCTGTTACACCCCTGTTCCCCACCAGTACGACTTCGCCCAAAGACCCCCAGCAAACTGAAAGAAAAATTCACGCAGGAATGACAATTTACCAATATTGATGTTACCTGGACAAAGAGTGTGCATTGTAGTGATGCTCATAACCCTTTTTATACACAAAGGCATTTGATACGGAACCATGACATCACGTTCCTCAAAGACTTAGGGTGCAAGGTATGTTTCATAAAGTGGAAGCAACAGGTGAGTATTTTTTTGCTGCAGTTTAATATCTTAACACCAACAGCAGTTGTCTATGTTCCCCTTTTTGTTCCATTTCTAAAAGAGCCACTCTCACCATGTTACACGTTTTAAGAAAGCAGAGAATGGTAAAGTTAACAGAACACAGACGTGATAAAAAAGAAAGAAAGAAACAGTAGTAACTTCGATCATAGGTGCCTGCGTTCTATCTCCCGAGTGAAGTGGTATAATAAGGTGAGCAATATTGAGGTTAGGCGTCGGTCGAGTGCTAGGTAAGGAAGGAGGGGAAATCAATCGACAATGAGGCTGTGAAATTGCATCGACTGAGTGAGGTAGTTAGGACATGTGTTACGCATGCATGCCTGGTCATCGCCTTCCTCGACAATGGGCAATGTTAGCTGGCTGACATAGGGTCAGGTTGGGAAAGAGTGAGCTAGCGGCGGTCAAACCAAAACATGGCTTCATCAGTCAATGAAGAAATCCACAACGGTCAGTTTAAGCCAGGCAGCCAGCCACGTAGGAAGGTGTAGACTGGCTTCCTGACTGGTTGGGTTCCTCGGGACGGTAAAAACCAATGAAGGCTGGAAACAATTGGTGATATGGCCGGCTCAAAATCGTTCTCAATGCCTGGCGCAGACAGATGCATCCACTCCTTGTGACTTATGATTTCCAATGAAACTACATTGTTCTTCGTTATTAATATTCCTTTGTCTCACCACACCTCTGTTTACTGTCTCTCTCTATTATGCATTTCTTCTACTTTCTTCTCTTGCTCTGTGTACTACATGGAGTGGAGGGAGTGTGTGGCAACTTGCACTGCTGCACATCGGTGCAAAGTGGTTCTATGTCGAAAACAGACAGACAGACAGATTATTTGACTGTATAGTTAGGTGACAGCCAGAAATAAATTCCAGAAAGATATGATTGTGATGGTCAAACGTCCATTGATTAAATATATCTACAAAAACAATTTTAACATACTTGCACAGAGTTCATTTTGAACAAAATTCAATCAATCGATCAATATATGCACACAGTAATAACATATATATATATATATGTAATATTAAACACTATTCCGAACAATAGTGATCATACACAATGGAAACTTTTCAGCATTATGCATTCAGGTGAAAGAGAGAGATGAAAATATCTAGTTACCAGGCAGGGCAAAGAAAGACTGATAACCGCGTCTTTCTGAACGCATAAATCAGGTTTCAGGTGCCTGATGGAAATGGCTTCAGCAAACTTGTGGAGAATTGAGCTCTTTTGTCTATTGATAATTTTGAACGACTTTTCGACGTCCACCTCATGACTGACCCATGTCAAGGAGATGTCTATCGATAGCACTGTTTGAAGCATTTGTTCCCAGCTGTAGACATAAGCTTTTTGGTACATGTTCAAAAAATCGTAGATATGCCCTTCTTCTTTCTGTCCTTCCAATGTAACTGCTCCCGCAGATACATGTAAATTTGTATATACAGTTGCAGTTGTTAATATGAGAAGGATATCTATCGATTTTTGATTCCACCAAAGAGCAAGTTGTTCGATAGACGAGGACGAGATTAGCTGCAGGATAGGCTCTGGCTAGTGATGTGCTCAGCCTTCTGTTGATCATCGCTGCAATCTTTTCACCTTTATAATCAAGCTGAAGCCATTTCCATCAACCACCTGAAACCTGACTTGTACTTTCAGAAAGAAGCGGTTATCAGTCTTTCTTTGTCCCGGTAACTGGATATTTTTTATCCGAATGCGAGATGCTGAAACGTTTTCATTGTGTATGATTATTATTGTTCGGAATTGTGTTTGATATTCCACATACACATGCATATATTATTACTGTATGCATAGATTGATCGATTGATTGCTTTTCGTTTAAAATGAACTCTGTGCAAGTATGTTAAAATTGTTTTTCTATATACATATTTAATTAATGTTTTTGGCCTGTAAGCAGTTGACGAGAAGGCGACGAAATAAACAATGATGGTACCACTCACTTTATTCTGCAGAAACCACTGTAGTTCTTGCTTTGTTCAAATAATAACACATAATAATGGAATTTCGATACATCGTTGAATTCTCTGAACGATGAAAGGGAGGGTCGCAATGCACTGTCGACTAAGGTTCATTGAGATTTTCAACCCATCGAGATTCAACGGTGGCTAGCCAACCAACACTCAAGATGAGAACATTCCTGATCACCCGGAACCAAGGTGAGCCTAGGTACATACTGTAACATCTAAACGACTAAATTGATCACTAAATTAACAAATTTCGACCAACGCTCAAAAATTGCAAATTGCTTTGCTGACTGGATGATATAACGCAACTGAAGATTACTTACCCGAGCTTGACGAGTAATCAAATCCCAATCATCTATAAGCCAAGATTTCAAAGATGGAGGCAGTGACATCGACAAACGAGGCTGAGAGAGAAGGCCATCTTTCTGATAAATGAAAAACAGTGAAAAATATAACGGCAAAGTTGAGAGTATGAATATATACATATAAAAAAAATAATGCTTTCACTCCTAACATCTTCAAGCCTGCTCAGTTTCTTGTCAAGATGCTACCCCATGAGCCATACACAAGTTCGCCAGACATCTTCCAGGTCACCATATCCAACAGGTTCTAATCCTTCAAGCCACTTCTATCTGAAATGTCACTTATATACTTCACGACAATCCTTCTATCTAATTACTAGTGTACTCTATTTTATCTCAACTTCCTAGGCCTTTAGTAAAGCTGAAATTTACTCTTTTTTTGCTTTTTTCTCATTCACACTCTTCTCTCGCATAAAGTTCGGTTGCTCTGATGATAAAAAAACATAACAACAACACTCATGTTTCAGAATAACTATATTTTCATAGAAAAAGTCATAGTTTTCTATGGTAAGACCAATATGGTTAGCATCATACATTGCAAGTGTGCACTATCATATCAAGTACTGTATAGCTTATTCTTGTATTTTTCTTGTAAATATACTTCCAATAATGTATTATTCATAATTGCATTTTATACCACTTTGTAGCTGTGCAGGATTTTCTCCTCTTCCTGAAATAGCGTTCAAGCACGTGGGGTCAGAGTACTCACTCGAATATATGTTGTTTATCGATGAGCCATTACTATCATCATCAGGAAATGGAACGAAGTTTGGGTTGTCTCGCTCAACTTCGATGGAGACCTTCGTGAAAGATTTACAAATTAACAACTATAAGAATCTGTTCCGATTGCTTGTACTATATAATTCAACAATTTGAACTTTTTTAAAAAGTGATAATGTATGCTAATTCACAATTGTAATTCGTAACATAATTGATCGTGCCTGTAAAAATGACACGCATTTCATGTAAACTTAACCGTTTATACGATATATATATATATAATATTATTATGATAATATAAATACAACCTATTAAATTAAGCATAGGGACATTTAACGTACAAGTAAACAGGAACATATTTACATCCTGAAAGAGGTGAACAAGCAGTAGTTAGAATCTAACTACCAACCAGCCTGTAAGTCTGACCTGCATTATAGCAAAAGTATCAGAAACAATAAAAGAAGCATTAAAGGTAGGAGAGACTTCAGGTGAACATAGAGAAAACAGAGGTGATGAAGATTCCTGGGAAACAACACCAAAAACAATAACAACAACAGACAATAATCAGCCAGCATAAATGGGAGGAACCTGAAAGAAACAACCTCCTTCACCTACCTACCTAGCTGGGAAGCGTCGTTTCAACTACAGGCCAACGGAACTGACGAGGATATCAAAGCAGCGAGGATCGGGAAAGCAAGACAAGCTTTCATTTCTCTCAAGTCTGTGTGGAAGTCAACAGACAGCACTCAGCATGAAAATGAAAATGAGATCCGGATTTTCAACTCCAATGTGAAGTCAGTCAGTGCTACTTGCAATACGGATCAGAGACTTGGCCAGCGCGTCATAAACAGCACCTCAAACAAACTACAGACCTTTATCAACAGCTAGTTGTCTTCGCTCAATACCACTCAAGATCAGATGGCCGGCCGGCCAGAAAAGATCAGCAACAGATCTCTGGGAGCGAACCAACCAGGAACCGATTGTGAAACAAATAGGCAGGAAGAAATGGAGATGGATTGGTTGGCCATACTCTGAGGAAACCATCAACTGACATCACTAGACAAGCCATTGCTCGAGTGGAACCCGAAAGGGAAGCGGCGAGTTGGTTGTCAGCGTGAGGGTGACTTGGGTGAGGAGGTCATGTGAAGAGGAGATGAAAGCGTGTGGGCAGACTTGGAGCCAGGTGAAAACTCTAGCAGAGAACTGAACGCAATGGAGACAAACGGCTGAAGCCCTATGTTCCTCTAGGAATTAAAGGAAACAATAATAATAATAATAATAATCAGAAACAATCATAAGGAGTCAACTCTTAGCTCATATGCAGAAACATGACTTACTGGAGGCGGAACTATATGGGTTCCGGCCAGGACGATCCTGTCGGATAAACCTACTGGTAGCTAGGGAAGATCGCGTCTAAGCCAGGGATAACAACCATCTATTAGATGTTGTCTTCACCGATCTTAGTAAAGCATTTGATAAGGTATCTCATTTAGGTCTCCTCAGTAAACTAAAATGCTTTTTTGATTAAACCAACACGCCTATGTCAGTAGTTTGCGGACTACCTGAGAGATAGAAAGCAGAAGGCAAGAGAGTTAGTGGTATACTGTCCGGGGGGGGGGGGAAAGCAGTACTAAGTGGAGTACCTCACGGGGACTGTACTTGGCCTCCTGCTATTCATACTATACTTAAGTGAATTACCGAAAATTCTTACGTCTTTATTATTTGCGGACGATACTAAGGGATGTGGAAAGCTGTAAATAATAACGATGGCAGGTTGGCATTACGGAACGATTTGGATAAATTAGCTGGAAATTAATTCCAAGAAAAGTGCGGCAATGCACACCTAGGTCAGAGCTTTTACACATCGGGAAAAGTTAAACTTTAAGCACCACCAACTATCAATGAGCGAATGACCTCGAACGCAGCAATCACGTGAAAGGGGCATTTTTGTGCATGGAATACATACATTTATTACGAAAATAATGCATAAAAACTGTGGAAAAGTGTTTGACAGGATAGCTTCCTCTCACATGTGATAAAAATAGCTCTCAGTTTTAGGTTGGAGTATCAACAATATAAATCCACTGTGAGTAAAATTTATTTTGATAAAGTCTCACAGTATAATACAGTAATATTTACTGAGCAATAAATTGTCCTCGAAACGTGGTCATCAGTAAATGTTACTGTATAACACTGTGAGACTTTATCAGAATAAATTTTACCCACAATGGAATTATAATCTACCACCACAGTGCACAAGTTCTATTCTTATATCAACAGAGTAGTTTAACCACATTCTATCCATGTAATTATTTAGGTCTTCTAACCCAAACAACAACCTTAATCTTTCCTAAACCCAGCCCTAACGTGAAAAAATGCCCAAACTAACCCTAACGACACCTTTGATAGGTTAACCCAACCCTAACTTGTTCTTGGCCTAAACTGTAACCTAATCTTTCCCAAACCTAAGCTGAAACTCGCCAGGTATCACATTTAATAACCTAACACCCCCATTAATGAGCATATGTTTTATTAATTATGACAACATTACTTGCCAGGTTCCACTAACTTGCTCAGTGAGCGTTTCAAGGTCATTGCTGCGGTTGCACTCCAGTGGCAGTTAGTAGTGCTTAAAGTTTAACTTGGCCACAAATCGTACCCTCTGGGGAACAAAGAACTGCCAGATGTTAAGGGGCGAAACGACTTAGGAATTATTGTAAGCCATGACTTAAAAACAACGGCAAACTGTAATCGAGCCACAGCTAAGACTAGAATGCTATGAGTACTTTGAAGGGCTTTCAAACGATTAGACGAGTCTTTGTTCTAAGTACCCTATGCAATGTATGTCAGGCCTCAACTGGAATACTGCATACAAGCGGTGATTTCATGCTTCAAAAAGGGGGCACATATCCTAGAAAGAGTACAGAGGGTAGAAACTAAATTAATTAGTGGTACCTCAAACCTTCCTTATGATAAGAGGATGGAGCATTTAAATCTCTTACCATTATCATACCGAAGGAGGAGGAGAGGTGACTTAATTTTGGCATACCACCGTACATTAAAGGATGATTTAGGAATTCACAATCTTCACCACAAAAAGGTGCTCAGACCTAGGTCGAATAGAAATACATGTACAATTTAATTTAGATTCTCTTACAGAATGGTCAACAATTGCAACTCCTTACCTGATTCAGTAGTAACAGCTCCATCGGTGAACGCTTTCAAAGAGAAATTAGATTTCTGCAGAGATGTATATTTCAAGGATTAACACAGAATACAAGAGCTTTCTATCTTTATTATCTTCATTTGAAACACAGCTTTAGCTCAAAGAAATATTTAGTTTCATGAACAACTTTCTAAGGGGACTTCAAAACCAGAGGACGGTTAAAAAAGTGAATTTGTTCGCAGGAGTGGACATACAGAAAATTAATGAGGACGATCTCATGAAGACTAGTGGTCACAGTGTTAAAATACGTTTCGGTCGGTCGGTTTTCGACATAGAACTTTGCACATATGTGCGGCAGTTCAAGTCGCCACACTCCATGTAGCACACAAAGCAAGAGAAGAAAGTAGGAGAAATGCATAATATACACAGTAAACAGAGGTGAGATAAAGGAATAGTAATAACGAAGAACAAAACAGTTTCATCGGAAATCATAAGTCACAAGGAGTGGATGCATCTGCACCACTGAGAACGATTTTGAGCCATGTCACCAATTGTTTCCAACCATTGGTTTTTACCGTCCCGAAGACCCCAACCAGGAAGTCTACACCTTCCTACGTGGCTTAGACTAACTGTTGTGTGTACGTTTCGAATGAGCCAGATATCACAAATATCGACTTAAAATTGTCATTTGATACAACACTGCTACTTTATTATCTCCTCCAGAGAGGAATTTTTTATATCTCACAAAATGAATCACAATACCAAAGTACAAACTATCTCGGAAGAACAAATATAAATTGCATAGAATGAAAAACTGTGTCACAATAAATACGAAATACTTGCATTTTCAAGAGACTTTAGCACTGATGACACTCGGCTTTTCCTTCTCCTACTTGATACTGTGACAGGTTGAGTAGACGGTGTGTATGAATCTTCACAACACTTAATGGGTGGTTTAATATCTCCAGTCTCTTTAACACCAGCAGGTACACAAGCATCAGTTTTACGGATGGCTTCTTCATTGGTTTTTATATTCTTGGCCTTGGGAGCATCTTTCTCTATAGTGGCACTTAGTATATAACCGGGTAATATCTCACCTTGTTTCACTTGACCAGGCCTCAATGTCCGCTCGACGTCCTCCAGGACTTCTGGAGGTGGCAATGACTGTGACTTCAAGTCGGACCTTCTCAAAACTTTAACCTTGCCCGATTTTCTGAAAATTACAAGCAGCATCGTGATCACAAACATTGCTTTACACAAGTTACATTTGTCGCTCTAATTCTTTTTGTTTTCTCAAACCCTCTTCATTATACTTGAACATACGTTTCTCTGTCACCCATTCATCCCAGCTATATCAAGACGTAAATTAATACTGAAATATTATTACTTTTTATTCCAACCTTGGTAATGCACAAAATACATTACACCATCTTCTTTCACTTTGACGTCTAGACATTTTGCCTCATACATAAGAGGCCCATGGAAACAAAGTAATTTTTCACCTTAATGCACGTGATTCTATATAAGGAAACAGTAAGCATCTTACCTATTTCATATTTTGGTTTCAAATCCAAGCTACTCATAGTGACGCAAAAAGTCAGTACACGCTCTCTAATGTCCAATACCCAATATCCTGATTACGAGCTAGTATAAACCAGTGATTTCTTTGACCTCGCCTCTTGATTGTAAGGTAGAGGTTCCCGATCTTTGGTGAACTTCTGCATAGTAAGTCCCGCCACTCGACTGCTTTAGCTCTGGTAGACTCCAAGAAGAGTGGTTCGGGGATTGGTCAAAATGTGGTTTGTAGGACTGTGTTGCTGCCGTGAATGTAGTGTGACCTAACTCCATTTGGTCACTCGGTGTGGTCATAAAAGCAGAATATTAATAATAATAATAGGTTGTAGTGCAGATAATATAGGTTGAGATAAGTGAAATAATAAAGGTGACCTAAGGAAAAGATAGAGTAGTCGGTACAGTGAGAGAAGACAGAACGGGTTGTGGGGATTTAATTTGTATGCTTATCCATTAACAGTGTGGTTTTAAATTTTAGGAGGATAAGCCATTGAGACACAACCTTGCATTTCTGCGTGATTGTCCAGCTTCCACTTAAAAGTCTCCACAGATGGCGCTGTAGTCACGGCCTCCGGTAAAGCGTTCCAGAGACGGCAAACTCGAAGCGAAAAGAAATGTCAACGCACTCTAGCCTTTGGTCTCTAGTGTGCTGTCATTAGCGGGTTACCTCGTGGAAGCTTATAATCACTTAATGGCAGGATGCTTATATTTGGGTGGGCCTGGTCATTTAAGATCTTGTAGACAGTGATGAGGTCTCCCTTGTGACTACAGTAACTAAGTGTGAAAAGTCTTAATTTCTTCAGTCTTTCCTCGTATGATTTGTTGCGGAGGCCGATCACCTATTTTGTCGCTCGTCCCTGGACACTTTCTAGAATGTTAGCATCCCTTTTGAGCAGTGGAGGAGCAATGATATTATGCACCTCAAGGTGTGGCCTCACGTACGTCTTATACAACCTTAAGAATAGTTCGGGAGTAAGAGCTCCCAGCTGCCTATGCATAAAGTGTAAAGTTGCGTAGGCTTTGGCAACGTCCCTCGTGTCATTTCCACTGGTGTCTAGCTTTTCTATTAGAATAAGACCTAGATTGCGTTCTGATGGCACACAACTCAGGTTCTGGCCACCAAGGGTGATATTTACACTCTGTGACCTACCGAAATGAAGTTGGACTACTTTGCACTTCTTTAGGTTGAGGGGCATTCCGTTAGCCAGAGCCCAGTCTCCCAGAGTTTGCAGGTCAGCCTGCAATCTGTCTGAGTCTTCCGATGAGTTTATTGCTCTCCAAATCTTTACGTCGTCAGCGTAAAGAAGCGCAGAGCAGTTCAGTTGAAGGGGCAGGTCGTTGATAAGAATGAAAACATCAACGGCCCTAAGACAGAACCCTGAGGAACCCCTGATGCCGAGGTGTGCCAGAATGATCGGATGCGGTTGACTTTGGTGCAGAATTCTCTCTCACCTAATAAATCTTTCAGCCATGCGAGAAGTGCTCCAGAAACACCCGCCTTGCTTATTTTGTGAAGGAGCAGACCATGGTGAACTGTGTCGAATGCTTTCGCAAAGTCAAGAAAGATCACATGGACTGGTACCTTTACGTCCCAGGTTGGTATCCAATCGTTCCAAGCTAGTAGAAGATTCGTCACACAGGATCTTCCCCTCCTAAAACCGTGCTGCGCTTCATGGAGTTGGTTAGTCCCGTCGAAGCATTTTCTCCTGTGGTCGTCAGTGAGAATTTCCAATATCTTCGATATAACTGAAAGTAGCGCAACGGGTCTGTAACTGGTCGGATTCTGCCGGTTACCACCCTTGAAGTTAGGGGATAGGATGGCTCGTTTCCATTCGCATGGAAGTTTCCCTACATCAAAGGAGTGTTGAAACAGATCACTTAGGGGTTGGCAGAGACTTTCTGAACACTGCTTCAGGACGCGTGGTCTGATGTCATCACAACCTGAAGACTTTCCCGAAGTCAACTTTCCCAATTTTACGAGTATCATAGCCGGGGTAATTTGAAATTTACCCAGCAGGTTTTCGCGCGTTGGTTTTGCATTGTAATCGATGTTTTGTGGGGGTAAAATCCTCGTTACTGTTTAGTTGCCTGTGAAAGGCCAGATTGTATGTCTCTGCCATTTCAAGACTAGTAAGAGATTTCCCATCGGAACCCACTAGATTGCATGCTCCCTGGTTGGTCGGTTTTCTTTCGGACATAAACCTGTATAGGCTTTTGGGGTTCACGAGAAGCTTACTGGCGAGGCTTCTCTGAAATGTCCTTCTGTGGTGAGAGATGGTTGCTAGCCGAATTGGCTGACAGTAATTGAGGTCAAGGTCAAGATGGACAGGCGGATACAGTTAACATATAGATGAACTGACACAGCCACAAGAGATGCAAGGCTAACTTTGTGTGAGAAACAACCAACCAACAGACTGTATTTTCTACTAACATTAACCTACAATAATGTACATCAAAATCTATAAATACGTGTTGATTTTCCGTAATAAACGTTCTGTTGCCTGGCCCTTGTCTACTGTTGTTACACTTCTATCACTCCGGACTTGTATGTTACATCGATTCCTGAGTTCAAGGTACACTTCAAGTTCGGGTTGACTCTTCGATATTCGCCACGCAAACCAGGCTTTTCGCTTCGCCTGCAGAAGGCGTTGTGTTCCCCTTTTCAGCCATGAACGTTGCTTCCCAGCTTCTGGTGTGACTAAAGGAACAGTGTCTGAGACCGCCTGGTGAATTATCTCCTTTACCACTCCCCAGTGTTCTCCCACTATTAGCTCTGTCCATTTTTTAGGCCAGTTTGCTTCAGACAAAAGTCTTCGCATTTCGGTGTAATTGGCTTTGTTAAAGCACAGATAGGGCTGTGTATTGTCCCACTGTAAGCGCTCGCGGAGGACGATGTCGAATACTATGACTGCGTGGTAACTACTACCTATGGGAGTCGTGATCTGAACGTTTTCCACTAGTAGCTGGTCACTAGTGAGCACATAATCCAGTCTAGAAGACTCCCATCTGGGCCCCATCTAGTGTCCATCCTGACATTTTCAGTGAATCCAGCCTTCCTGATTGTATGCAGCAGATTTCGATCAAATCTATCATGGGTGTATCCCGACATCAAGTGCATGCTGATCAGTTGTTATGGTGGTAGACACTAAGGTGAATCGCCCCATTCTGCAGGAACAGCAATATGCAACTTGACGGCTCGAGATTTCTATGAGGGCTTGAATCTTTATCTTAAAAAAGAGTTAATAATGATCACCCAGACAGATCATGCTTCTACCTTTAAAAATATACTATTCGCTCAGCCTACCGCTGAGATGCGACCACGTGGGCTCTGCACAGATTTGTGTGACATCCTATAAATTAACATGCTTTCCTTTGTCGTATCTTCGAATATCACTGAACAATGTCTCATCTCATTCATCTTCAAATAACGTCTTCAATTGCTCATTATATTCCATTAAACCTAACATTTTATAGCTCTTTAAGAATTTGATTCGACTTATTTTATTCCTATTCTCTATAGGGTACGGTTGTGCACCAAATACACAAAAAGCTATGAAATAAAAACAACCGGCTTGTGGATAATTGTATTAAAACCAAAAATGGACATCATGATAGTAAGACCTATATGGATAGCATTATACATTGCAAATGAACTTTGTCAGCCTAGGGATTATAGTCTCTCATTGTATTTCCTTTATGAATGCATCTATTAATTATTCACCTTAGCACCTTTACTTTTCTAAAACAGCTTACTATCCCTTGTAAACGCTGTGTTTACCTCAATATTGGTTGGTCATCGTATGCCTACAAACACGGGTTGAAAACGAAACGAAGTCGATTTTCCTGCGCAACCTGGAGGACTACTGTTTAATTCAATAATGACACGATATGGCTGTTCAAACATTATTAACTTGTAGACAATCTACTATTAGACATTACATCATACTTGATCGTGCCTGTAAAAATGGCATGCATTTTCATGTAAATTTATGTTTATATGAAAATATAAATTACTATCATTACTATTATAAGTTAAGAGATGGGGCAATGAAGTCGCCAGTTGTGACAATTTGATCATAACCCATGTCTTGTGTCGCTGAAATTGTATTTAGCAGTATCTGGTTGTGGTCTGCTCCGCATGAAGGTGATCGATAAATGCTGCCCACTAGATATTTGCAGTATCCAACGGTGAAATGGCACCATATTGAGTCAGGGAGCCCAGTGAGAGGAGGGTCCATTGCTTGTACACATCTGAGCTGTTTGTCGACGTATATGGCGACTCCACCTCCTTCTTTCCTGTCCCTATCTCGCCTGACTAGGACCATATCATTTATACTGACTTCGCTGTCTACCACCGTAGGGGTTAGCCAGGTTTCTGTCAGTATTATGATTTTGGAATTCAGCTGGGATTGTAGGTATCTAAGTTCAGCTATTTGCCTCTTAGCCCTCTCACATTACTGTACAGGCAACTGGTAGTCAGTCTCACCACGTCCCCGTATTGGGGGGTGGTTGACTTGATGTGGGCTGTCGGTTGAGGAGTTATCCTACGAACTAATTGACCGATTCCCCAGGAACCGGCCTGTTCGTGTTATTTTCTTCTAGTTCAATCGGAGCACTTGGATGACACTGGCTATCATCGTCCGTGCTACACCGCTGTAGTGTGACTAAGGGTTGAGGATTTCCTTTGAAAACAATAAACAATATATTCATCTATAATTTCCGATCTCTTTCTCCTCTCCCCTCGATGGTTTATAGGGTTTCTAAACTTGAAAGAATAATTAAGTTATATATGTCCAAACCAAGTTCACTTTCAACGGTTTGAAAAGGTTTGGGCATTGGGAATATGACATTCATTATAATAAAGGTTTTTGTATTTCTCAATGAATGAAAAACAAAACGATATTGTTTTTACTGACGTTTCGCTATTTAACGCTATAGAATCAGGCCACAAAATTAATTTTGACAATATTGAAATTGTCATCCAGAAGAACTTCAGAAATCACAAAGAACGTCTAATATCATCAGAAGCACTTCATATCAAGTGGAACCCAAATTGTCTGAACTGAATAGGAATGA